CTCTGGCCTGAGTTCCTGGGAGCGTGACTTCAGGCAACGTGAGGTGAGGTTGTAAGGCAAAAACGTGGATCCCTGAAAGCATTCGTTTATGCCTGGGTCTCTTTGCTTGTGTCCTGGTGTTTGTACCCTCTTGGGATGCTCGCTGCGCCTTTTTCCATCTTCTCAACCTGGCGTGAGGGACTAGAAGTGTCTTTCCAAGCGGGGAAGAAATAACGTGACTCCAGGAGCTGGTGTTTTAAGAGGGAGGTGATCTGGAAACAGTCGGGAAGGAGGAGCAGCTGGAAAGTAGGTGAGGAAGGTGAACGTGCAGCAGCGAGCGGGTTTGGGTTGAGAAAGGCTGCTGGCAGGAGGAGGGAGTTAGGAAGGGGCCAAAAAGCCCCTTGGCAGTGTGGCTGGGTGCCCCGGGCCCTTTCCTTCCCCAGCGCTCTCCCAGCCGGTGCCTCAGCAGCAGCGAGCTGTGCGGGAGCACCCCACTGCTCCAAGGCTTTCCTCCTGACCCAAAATAGCTGTGGCTTGGCATGTGCCTCAGAGAGGGGTGAAGCAGAATGCAGAGCTAATCTCTTGGCAGGTTCTTCTTTCCCGTGCAGGGCAGCCGCCACTCTCGTATCGCACTGGCGGCACTTTTGTTTCAAGCTAGTTTCCGAGGCTGCTCCCAGATCCGCACGTAGGATGAGATCAGGCAGCAGGCTGGTGTTGCTGGGTCAGGGCACGGGGCCGGGCGAGACTGTCACTGGCGACTGACACCCTGAGTGACTGGTTATTTTTTTTCAGAAGTCACTTTATGATGCTTTTGAAGCACTTAGAAAGTAAACGGTTGAATACCCGAAGGAGTGAAACGGTGTGCACTACCCACGGGAGCTGTGCTGCTGACCTGTGCTTCGCAGCTGTGGGCTCTGGTGCCAAGACCAAGGCTGGGGATCCAAGATGACAGCTTATGTTTTTGGGTTTATAAGGCTTTGGCTGAGCAGACTTGTCTGTTGGATGCTCCGAAGGCACCATGGGAGGCACATGGAAAGGAAGAGTTGGCATCTCTTCTTTCCACTGATTCCTGCGTGTACCTAAGGCCTTTTATTATGAAGCCAGGGGTTGGGCTACTTCTCCAGCGATGGGCAGCTCTCCTTCCTCGCATTTTCAGATCAGATAGCAGGGAGCTGGAGCCACCTTTGGGCCTCATCCACTCAAAGAGGGTCAGCATGGACCGAGTTGGGTTTGTTGGTGCTGCTGAAACTTTGGGAGAAAGGAGAACTCTTCATGGTTCTCCCGCTCTGGCAAGCGGGTTTTGGGGAAGGCTGCAGGGGGTGGACAGGGGGGCACCACAAGCTGCCACAGGCCAATGTTGTTGGCGAGATCTATTTTTGGACTGTGTTACCAGGAGCTGGGGAAAGCAGACCCCACCCCCAGACCCTTTCCAGCACCGGGAACTTTCTGATGGGTGCAGCCAGGTCCCGAACAGGGGAATGGGACAGGAGCATCCCATTTCCACACCCTTCCCTGTGCTGAGGGCTGATGCCGACATCCCTTGGGAGCAGAGACCTCCCTGCCACAGCAGGCTCTGATCTGTCGTGGGGACAACATGGCCAGTGTCATCCCCAGACAGCCCCTTGCTGCCCTCCTGGGAATAGAGATTGTGCTAACGCAGGGCTTCCCAGTTCTCTGACCCATGGCTTGGACGCTTGAGCTTGCGCTTTCTTCAGGGCAGCGTTGCAGCAGGAGGAGCTTCTCTGTGGATAGGCAGGGCCTGAAGTTCAGGTCTGGGATCTAGGAGGGGTGGGGGGGCTATAGGGAGAGACAAGAAGAGGTGCAGCAGCTGGGGAGAGGCTCACAGGAGCCACACTTGGGAAGGGCAGACTAAGGCGAGGTGGCCTGGAGAGGGGCAAAGGGTGCCTGTGAGTATCATACGGACCCGCCAAGCACTGTATGGGGATCTGAGAATCTCATCAGCTTTGTGCTGTCCACTGCATCTGTATTCCCAAGTAGTTTTTATCACAGCTGCTGCAAGCAGACGCCGGAGGCGTGGAGTGAGTAGTGTTAGGATAGTGTGATAGGATGACAGAATGGTTTGGGCTGGAAGGGACCTTTAAGGATCATCTAGTCCAACCCCCCCTGCCATGGGGTTTCACTAGATCAGGTTGCTCAAAGCCCTGACGGTGCGAAAGGCCCTGCCGGTGAACCCTTCCAGGGTGGGGGCATCCACAACTTTTGGGCATCCACAGCTTCTCTGGGCAACATGCTCCAGTGTCTCACCACCCTCATCTTAACAAATGTCTTCCTTATCTCCAATCTAAATCTACCCTCTTTCAGTTTAAAACTGTTGCCCCTTGTCCTCTCACTACAGGCCCTGATAAAAAGTCTCTATCTTTCTTATAAGTCTCCTTTATATATTGAAAGGCCACAAGAAGGTCTTTTGTTGTTGTAATTGCTCTCCAGGGAGGTGTGCCAGGCTGCAGGGCATTCACCCGTAAGGTGAAGCTCAAACATGGCAAGAGAGGGAAATGTGCCGCTTCGAAGCACCCAAAGGGTGCCCCGCAGTACCAGCGTGCGCTAACTGTGCAGCATAGGGTAAAGCACCCCAGCGCCTTTTGCAGCGAACAGAATGTTTAAAAGATGTAGGATGTTGTTTATTTAGCCATGCAAACTTCTTGAGGGCACACACTTGGCGGGGGGTCTGTAGGGACACCACTGCATCTTGTCACCTCCCCGGCTTTGGGAGGGGTGCCCTGTAACTGGCAAGGAGATGGCTGGGTCTGTCTGCTGCTGGGACCCTCCTGCCCTCGCTCTCTGCCTTCTCCCTGTATTTCAGCCTTTGGGCAGGTTGCTGCCTTGCGGTGGGGCAGGAAGGACGCGTGTCTTCCCTTGGCGTGCGCCAGTGGCTGTGGGGTTGTGTGGGGCAGCCTTGCTTCCAGCCGGCAGAGACCTGGCAGCGGCCACTGGCCGTGCCGGGCTGCGGGTGCAGTGCTGCAGACAGGTTATTATTAGGAGTGGTGCATTGCAGAAGGGAGCAGGGAAGAAGGAGCCAGACAGGAGGCAAGCGGGAGAGAGGTTCGTAACGCACGGGCATGCAGATTTGTTGCTTGCGGGGCCAATCCCTGTTGCCTCCTGCCTTTAAATCGGTGTTTATCTGATCTGTCATCTTCCATAGCACTGTCGTGAAATGAATTCTTCCAAGGATTTGCAGCTATGCTTTACTTCCCCAGTAAGTCCGGACTATGCAGAGACCCAGAGGGAGGCGGAGACCAAACTAGAGAGGAAGCGCCATGCCGAGAAAGATGCTGAAAATTTTTTTCTTATGGTGGAAGGCATTTTTCTCCCCGGGGAGAGAGGCCTTGTTTGAACAGTTCCCATATAAGGGCAATTCTACCTTTTCACTTACTCCTTCCCTCTCTCTTCATCTCCCTCTTCCCCCAAAAGGGATGGGAACCCCCTTTGACTCCCCTTCTGTAGCTGTGGGATGAAGCCAACACCAACACGAAGACTTCATGCTTTCCCCTTGTGTGAGTAAGGAGAAGCATTGCCAGCCTTAAGATCTTAGAAATTCGTAGGCCAGGACTCTCCCACATCGTCATACTGTCCTGATACCCCAAAATAACAAGTGTGAGGGCTTTTCGTGAGCTTTCTGGTCTCCTAGACTTTAGGATTTATTTTTCAAACTTGGTGTGAGTAAGTGAGAGGAGAGATTTTTCACATTCTCGTGCAGGGTCACAGTGCCTCTGTCGGTGTTTGCAAGCATTAAATGGAAACCAGAAAACACAGCACCAGGCAGGGCCCAGCTCTGGTTGCTTTCCCAGAGAAATCCCACTTTCATGGAGAAACCCAGAAGAGCCAGGAGCTGGGTAGGAATGCAGCAGCCCTGCCCCGTGCCGCACCGCAGCTCATGCCAACCCGTCTGTTCTATGGAATAGTAATTTAGCAAAGAGAAGTACAGCTTGGTGGCCTCCCAACAGACCGTGGACTGGGCCAACACCGCAGCGTGACCCAAGACGATGATCTCATGTAGCGAAATATAATATAATAATTGCTAGGCGATGTGTCTTTGTATAGCAAGGCCAGGCATCTTGCAGCTCAGCCTTTTGCAAAGCTGCAGAGCCTAACACAGCACCCACCAGCCAACCTGGCATAAAAATGGGACAATCCATGCCACTTCCTTGCAGGACAAGACAATGTTCTTTTTAATCCAACCTGGTATGCAGCAGTACAGCTAAGGAGACTGCTACCCTTGCCCAGGTAGCGTGGCCCAGGGCAGCCCTCTGTGTCGGCACAGCCAGAAGAGCAGCCCTTCGTGTTGACGCGCATCATGGTCACTTGTGCCGTAACGTGGTCAGGACGTAGTGTGGTTATGATGCGAATGGGGGCAACTCTGCTATGTCTGCAAGCCTGTTACTGAGTGTGTGAGCTGAACCTAATGTGACCCAAGGCCAAGGGGCTCAGGGGCAGACGGAGAGGTCGGTGGGCTGCGTCGGGCTGTGGCCCAGCCACAGCATGGCAGGGCATGCAGCGCAGCTGCCACGCAGAGACTGCGGTTGGTGTCCCCAGCTCCCCCCATCGTGGAGCAGGCAGCCGTCAGCCAGCCCATGGTGAGAGCAGCCAGGACCATGGTGGGGCAGGATTCATGGGTGAGGGGGCGCTGACGGGCGTTTGACAGCTGCTGTCTTCTGGAAACAAATGGCAATGCATTCCTGGGAACGTTCTCCTTCCCACCCCGGTGCTGTCATCACCCCCTCTTGGATAGCTTTGGGGTGAGCAGCTGTCGCTCTCTCCTCTCCGGCAGCTGGCGAGGCAAGGCCAGTGAGATCTGACCAGCGCCTTTGTCTCCCTAGATGGGAAGAGGAGTACACGGTGCGTGTCCAGCTTCAGGACCGAGTGACTGAGCTGCAGGAGGTGAGCATCACTGTCCTCCCCCTTCCCCTGCACCCCAGCTGCCCTGCGCTGATGCTGATTTGCACATCTTCCTCCGCCCGGGGCAGGAAGCCCAGGAGGCTGAAGCCTGCCAGGAGGAGCTGGCCATGAAGGTGGAGCAGCTCAAGGCAGAGCTTGTTGTCTTCAAGGGACTGATGAGCAATGTGAGTCCTTAACCCCTCTCTGACCCAGCAGCAGTGTCCTACCCGGATGGTGGGGCTGTGTAGAAAAGCAGTTCCTTAGTGGGGCATGTCCAGCACAGAGGTGGTCCGGCAGGGTTGGTCCAGGGCACAGTGAGCAAAGCGGGGATGTATCCTGCAGCACAAGGGGTTATATTGCTGGGGGAGAATGTGAGGACTCTGATGTTTGCCTTGCCTAATCCTCCTCCTCTGTCCCCCTCCTGTGGCGCTGTGGGTTCAGAACATCACGGAGCTGGACACCAAGATCCAGGAGAAGGCCATGAAGGTGGACATGGACATCTGCCGACGCATCGACATCACTGCCAAGCTGTGCGATGTGGCACAGCAGCGGAACTGCGAGGACATGATCAAGATGTTTCAGGTGAGAAGAGCCTGCTGCTGCCTCAGGCTCAGCCGCCAGCTCTGGGGAGGAGAGTTCCCGAAGGAGGTAGAAGAGACAACACTAGCCCCCTGCTAGGGGAGACGCTTGGTCACCCTCACCCTTGCTCCTTGGGGTCCCTTGCTCTCTGTCTCTCTTGGGAGGACCAAGCAAAAGGGCACAGAGAGGAGGTGGAAAGCTCCAGATGTTGCTTTGGGCATCGAGAGTCCCCTCAACCTCTCGCTGATCTGTTGTGTTGGGCTCAGGGACCCCGCAGTGGTAGGGGAGCAGCTGCAGGAGGGAGACGAGTTGCTTGAGTGTCTGTCTCTAACTCCATCTCTCTCCTTCCCCTTCCCTTCTCCGTCATCTTCTCTCTGTCTCTTTTCTCTGTCTCTCTTTCTCTTTCTGGATGTCGCTGCCTTTCTGTCTCGCTCTCTTTGTCCCCACAGAAGCAACTGGTTAGTTCCATTCAGTTGAGAAAGTGTACAAATTTTAAACTTTCTATAAATAAGGTCGGACTGTAAATATTGACATATTTCACCTTTTTCAGACTCTGTCTCTTTTTTCCTGTTTCTGTCGCTGTGTTTCCCTGTCTCTGGACTGGGGTGGTGGGCGATTTGAGTTTTTCTGCAGTAAAATCACATTGTTTTTTCTCATCAGATTCATAGATTCCATCTTTAGTTGCTTAGTTTTAATTTTAGAAAATGCTAAAACCATGTTTTATCCATTGCATCATCTTTAACCTGATCATAATGAGCCCGTCTCTCTCTTTCTCTCTCGCTTTTCTTCCTTTCTTCCTTTCTCTCTTTCTCTCTTTCCCCGCCTTTCTGTCCCTCCACCATTCCTTCCCTGTCCATCTCCTCCCAACTACCTGCTCCTGACCTCGGACCCGGCCTCGTTTCTGTAGTCTCTGCACTTGTCTCCCGTTAAGGTCCCAGCCTCGGTGGGGCGGAAGCGGGAGCGCAAGCAGGTCAGTGACGAAGACACCTCGCTGTCAGAGAGCGATGCCTCCCGAAAACCTGATGAGGAAGAGGAGGACGAGACCACAGCCATGAGTATCAATGAGGAAATGCAGAGGATGCTGAACCAGCTGTGAGTGCGGCCCAGCCTGGCGCTGGCTCACCCGTGGCTGCTCCGCATCTCTGCCACCGGTGTCGAGCAAGGCTCTGGCACCAGGCTCCCTGCCGGTGCCTGGGATGGGGGGGCAGGGGTGGGATGTGGCTCCCCTTCCTGGGGGGAGGGCAAGATGGGAGGTGCTGCCACAGGGTGCTTATGCCCCACGCTCTGCGGTGCAGTGGGACTGCCCCCCTAGGAGGGAGACCTGAGCCCACCCGTGCCATGGGTGGGAGCTGGTCCAGCTCCTGTACTCTCACCCCCCCTTCCTGCTTTTTGGGAGCTACTGTCTGAATTTGCCGGGGCTCCTGACTGTAAAGCCAGCCCCTACCCCACCAGCTGTTGGGTTTGGGCACATTTGAGCTCACCCTGGCCAGACCTGCAAGAGCTGCAGCCCTGCTGCAAGCGGGGGCAAGGTTTTCGGCACTGGCACAGCCCCCGCCTACCCTGC